GAGTCAGTGACCGCTGCCAACCCCTGCAAAGCGCCCGCTGCCCTCGGCTCGAACCCTGCGCGGTGTCCGGGCCAGATCCAGGCCCGGCTCGCTGCGAGCGGGCGCTGCTCGGCGGGACCCAGGCCCTCCTTTTGTTCACAACCATCATTTGTGTGGAACAGCAAGTGACTCTATGGATCGGTCATTGGTAACGGCAGCTTCGTGGCTTGTTTACATGTGTCCCTCCCGTCGGAGGGAAACCGGAGCTGGCGGGATTACTCGTTGCCAATGACGGAGCTCGCTTCGGGTCCGAATTTACCGGAGCAGATTTTAAATGGTAGGAAACGTAACCCTGAAGAGCCCCATTTACTCGGCAAACAGTTTCACACCGTTCCGCGAATTCTTCCGCTACAATCCCGGGCCGCCGACGTGTGAGTGGGCACCTATGTCACAGGGCCCGATTTCTCCCGCTTGATCGGTGACAGCTGTTGTCTATTTGCTCTTTTTTAATTTAGTCTTCGGTGGAATGAACACTGGGCCGTGCACCAGTGGGCTTGGATTCACGTGGACAGGGGTAGTGTAGGAGGACCCGGCAGTCACAGAACCAGTCACAGCAAGGAGCATGCAAAGGGAATGAACGTTCCCGAGGGAGCTGGGAGGAATGGCTGCAAACTGGGAGAAGCTCGCAGGATCGGGGTGTAGCGGTGCCTTCGGGTGCAGAAATAGCTGCTGGGCTCCGCAGCCGCTGAGATTTTTAAAAGGAGAGGTCTGGACCAATGTCCAGTGAAAAGGGAATGAAAGTATCCCCAAGCGCCATTGTTAGAAGAAGCGCGGGGGGCGGGGTCTGACTCACGTCGGGGGAGCTGAAGGGAGCTGGTCTCTAGTCCCCAGTGTGACTTGGCCGCCTGGACGGGGCCGAGTGGCCGCCCAGGAGAAACGCTCCGCAGCCCGCATGGGGCGTGCGGGGTGCGAAGCGCAGCAGAGGCGGACACAGACCTTATGGCCACAAGGTTCGGGCCAGAGCGGACAGAAGCCCAGGGGATCCGTGTAGCAACACGCGGTCTGGTGTCGGGACAGAGACTTTCTAGGTTTCCTCAAAAATCCCCTTTTCTTGAAGGTTTCACAACTCAGCGGGGACAGGCCCCGCGGTCTGGGCCTGGGCGCTGACGGGAGGGGTTTCCGGCGTGTCGCGCTCAGTGCAAGACAGAGGTTTATTGCGTTTACACGTACGCCGCTTGCCGTCAGGGATCTGGGCAGTTCGCTTTGTGTGAGGGTTTTCCCAGGCAGCGCCGCTCCTGGTTCCCTGTCACTGTTCCCTGTGAATTGCTGAAGCATCTGCAGGGAGAAAGTGGGAGCCCACAGATGAGCCCAAACTCTGTATCTTCGTTTCGCCAACCCAGACAGTAGGCTGGGGACGCTTTGCATGGGCCGAGCAAAGCGGGGAGCTGGGGGTGCGTCCAGGAGCCAGACACGGAGCTGACACAGCCCCTAGCAATCCGGATCGGGTCGGGCTGCGCGAGCGGCTGGACTCAGCCAGAGGGACAGCGGTGAGCACTGAAGGAAGCGATTTTACAGGGAGATGAAATAGGAAGAAAAGTTAAGATAACTCGACGGGCCTGATGGAGCCAGACGGAGCCGACATGCGCCGCCCCCTGGCCCAGGCACTGGGGGGAGGAGGCGGGAGGAGCTCGGCCCCGCGGACCCCCTTGCTCTGCTCAGTTCGGGACGAAGCCGTGGCATGGCTAACGCTGCAGTTCGTGCTCTGGGATGCTGGGTCCCTGCTCCCTTCGGCGCTTGCCTCCGCCTCCGCCTCGGAAAGGCCGGCGGGACCTGCAGCGCCCCCAGCACGGCGCGACCAGCACATGGGCTGCCCGGCTCACCCGCCGCCGACTTCTCGTGGAAATGCGAAGACACCCCGGATAGCAACGAGCCCGGCCCCAGCCCGGGTAACGGCTGGGTCAGATCTCCCCAGCCAGGCCTATCCTGCAGCCGGTCAGCAGAGGGCAGGCTGCTCACAAGCCGGCCCCACACCGGTGCCCAGAGGGTTGGACAATTACAAAGGCAACCAGAGCCGAGACTAATGGCGCGCACACTCAGACTCACTCACACACACACACACACACTCACACTCACACACAGCAGAGACTAATGGGACACACACACACACACTCACACTCGCACACACTCACACACACAGCAGAGACTAATGGCACGCGCACCCCCCCCCAGAGATTAGTGGGACACACACACACACACACACACACACACACAGAGCAGGAATCTAATGGCACACACACACACACACACAGCAGAGACTAATGGCACGCGCACCCCCCCCCCCCCAGAGATTAGTGGGACACACACACACACACACTCACACACACAGAGCAGGAATCTAATGGCACACACACACACACACGTAAGAGGCCAGTGGGGCACCCCCACCCCGCACCGACACACTCACGCAGAAGGCTCATGGCGTACCCACATATGCACAAGTTTCACTCGCCACGAAGGCCCTTTCGGCACATTCCGGGCCGGTAACACGGGCCCAGCCCAGCCGCTCACTCGCTCTTGTCTTAGGCCGGGGCCTCGGGAATGATGCTCCGAATTGTGTATTTCTCGCCCAACTCCCTGCAGAGCGAGAGATCCCTCCCCGGTCCCTGCACACAGCGCCGGGCCTGCGCGCACAGAGCCGCTCGCTTCAGGTCTCGTTTGGTTTTATTTCGATGATGGATTTTTGCGTTTTAATTGTCTGATTTTAGTTACAGACTTTTAATAAACCGCCTTCGAATTGTTCTCAAGGCGGCCGCCCGAGCTGAACACGGCCTGTGTAATAGTCACACACTCACACGGTGAGACGGTAACAATTATGTGGTCTGATTTCTATCGGAAAAGTGACCCCGACCAGAGCCGGAATTAACTGGAGGGCTGTGAGCCCGGACCGGGGACTGGTCCCCTTTCCCTCTGACTAATCCCGCCGCCCAATTGCGGAGTTTTAATTAGAAGTTAGGGAAACTCTTGGAGTGAGGCGAGACCGGCTCTAATTTTCCCCACCATTGTAGGAGATAATTGTGGCTGGAGACTGCCGAGCAGCCCCCGGCAGGATGGGAACCGTAAACAATTAATGCAAAGGAGAGGGTCTTTCTGCGCGGCAGAGCTCTGAAATCCAAGCAGCTTTCCTCTCAATCGCAGAGTTAAATAACCCAGGATTAGTAAATTGTCCAAGATAAAACCCCACAAGCCTGTTCCCAAAACCCCTTTCCGAAAGATTGAGCTAAACCATAATCCTGAATTTCTGTGCGAACCCAGCGTCCGAAGGGCTTTGCCTGCAGACCCACAAACGGAGCAGCCAGTGGCCGCCCTTAACACTTGTCCAGCTCATTAAATACCAGTGCGTTGGGAACCCGACAGAACAGCGCTCGGGCCCTTCCCTCGGCCGCCACAGCAAGCCCGGAGCCAGGGGAACAAACCCCACATCGAGTTCTCGCCAGCCGAGCGTGGCTTGCTCTGGCGATGGGGAGGGATCGCTTGCCGCGCAAAGGAAGGGGAGACGGGGGCTGTAGCCGACCCTGACACCCGCACGACGCCGGCACATTATTTGTCTTTTATTGTTTGCGCGTTTCTCGTTAGGGAACCAGCAATGGCCACAAGGCTGTAATTCAGAGGCAGCCCAGGGTTCAGCTAGGCCCGGCGCAGCACGGCCGCACTCGGCGGTTCTAACGCTCCCCGGGCAGGGCTTCGCCGGCCCGCACAAGGCACCTTGGGGAACCGACTCTGCGGGGCCGTGCGGCCGCGCTCGGCCATTCCCAACGTACGGAACTAAAGACCAGAAAACACCCGCTGGCCGCGCCAAGCACGGTTCTCGGGAAGGTGTAAACGCGCCCAAATCGACCCCTGGATTCGCTGCGCCGCAGCCCGCGCGCTGGGCTCCCGAGACTCGAGGCTGGGTAGGGCCACAGGGAATTAGTGCCTCTCCCCCGTCCTAGTGACTCCCCTCCTGCAGACGCGTCCGAGCAGGGAGGGGGCCGGGAGCGCAGCCCTCTGGCACTGCTCAGCCTGCGCGGGCCAGCGGGACCGGCAGCTCCAGCGCTTCCCGGCCCCGAGGTGACTAGCTCCGCCTGCGGCCCGTCGCCAGGCCCTCGGGCCTCCTGCCCCGGCATCTGCGGCTCTCCAGCTGCATTAGCCTGGGACCCATAATCCCTCTGAAGCAGGGAGCACAGGACCGAGCCCCGCAGCCGGTGCCGGCTGGGCTAGGGCCAGCCACTGCTCTGCCCAAGGCAAGGCCACGGGAGGGCACAGAGCGCTGGTCCCCAGCAGCCCAGGCCAGCGCTCCGCCGGCTGCGGGGGGATGCGCTCAGGTTCTCTCCAGAGGTGGGCCAGGCGGGCAGGAGCCCGGCTCTGCCGCGAAGGCCAGGCCGTGCGGGATCTGCTGGCATTTCAGCTGCCAGCCCGGGCCGGGGAAGGCGGCTCCCGAGCACTGGGCGCAGCGGGGCTCAGGGGCTGGAGTCAGCCCAGCCTCCAACTTTGGCGCGGGGGGAGCCCGGCGGGATCTGTGGCTGTGTCTCCTGCCAGGCCCCCAGCCCGGCTCTGCCCGCAGCCAGGGCTCCCCAGCGGGCGGCCGTCCGGGCTGCGCTCCCGCAGGGTCCGCGGGGAGGTGCGGCTCTCTGCCAGCGCCTCTCGGCCGGGCCCGGCGCCAAGGGGCCGCGGCTCCGGTGCCAGGACAGAGCAGGGGCGCCTGTGTCCGGCAAGGAGCAGCCAGCGCCGGGCCGTCGCGGCTCTGCTGGGGGCAGGCCCCGCTGTTAACACCTCCCCAGGCACAGCTGCCCCAGACACACGGGCGGGAGAGGCGGGAGCGTGGGCCCCTGGCCCGGCTGCGGAGGGCATAGGCAGGCCCAGGGTCCCGGACACGCGTGGCGGGGAGAGGCTCCTGCAGCCGGTGCCCCCGGGACAGGCGCGCTCGGGCAGCCCGTAGGGCAAAGCCGAGCACAAGTCACAAGCCGCGTGGCGCTGCTACCTACCCCAGGACAGGAGGGAGAGCCCGGGGCGCGCTGCCCGCGCGGGGCCGCTAACTCGAGTGGGTCCCTCCAGGCAGCTCTGGCTTCACTCTGCCCCCCGGGTGTCTGTGGAGCCGCAGGGCCCCTCTCCCGGCCGGTGCGGCGCTCCCGAGAGCGCAGCCCCGGATTGACGCGGCCCCCGCCCTTGTCACCTGGCCACCCCCGAGCCGCGCGCACCTGGCCGCCCCCGGGGGGCTGCGGGGGCTCGCTCCGGCGACGGCACTATTTGACGTCGAGGAGACGGATCACCGCGGCGCAGCGATACCGGCAGCGCCAATGGAGTTCAAATGTCAGCAAGTTTGAGGAGGGGTGAGGCGGCTCCCCTGGTGGGTGTGTTCCTCCGCCGCAGCCCCAGCTCTAAACGGAGCGGCTCCTCGGGAGGCGGCAGGGCACAGTGACTGGGGAGCGCGCCCGGGGAACCCTGCAGCCCTGCCCTGGACCGACGGCGGCGCCCGCCGGCCCCTGCCCCCGGGAGGGCCCTGCCCCCGCCCCGGCCCCGGCCGGCCCCGGCCCCGGCCCGCCGGCAGGTGACCCCGGGCCGCCCGCGGGCTGTAGCATGACCTGACCCGATGGGCAGCCGCCTCCGCTCCGGCCCCTGCCCCCGTCTCCGCCAGGAAACGCGCCGCATGTCTCCCCGATAAAAATAAAAGCGACTCCCTCCTCCCCGCTGCAGCGTGCCCCGCAGCCCGGCCCGCCCCGGCGCTGAGCGAGCCCGGCCCCCGCCGCAGCCTGACTGGTGCTCCGGGCCGCCCATGGATATTGCAACAGGTCCCGAGTCCTTGGAAAGGTGCTTTAGCCGGGGCCAGTCGGACCGCGCCAAGATGCTGGACGGCATTAAAATGGAAGATCACCCCCTGCGCTCGGGCGCCGCGACCTTAGGCGTCTTGCTGGGTGAGTGGCCGCGGGGGTCCGGGCTGTGCCCGAAAGCCCAGCGTCCCGCCCGGGACTGCGCTGCCTGCCGGAGCCCGGGCTGGGGCCGTGGCCGTGCGAGAGCACGTTGGAAACAGCGTCTCCCTCCCGGGCGGGCGCAGGACTTCGCTCGCTGACTTTGGCGGGATGTGTATTTTTTAAATGACCGGGAAAAAATAGTGCTTAAAAAGCGCACGCCTGCCGCAGAGCCGAGCGGTGCCGTGCCGGGGCTCGGCCGGTCTCAGCCCGGGCCCCCGCCGCCAGCGCTGCCTGCCGTTCGCCAGGCTCGCTCTGCAGGCTGCAGGGACCCTGCTGAATTTTTCTCGCAACGTCCCGAGGAGGTTTTGAGCTGAGAGGCGAGTGGCGAGCAGGAAAGCCCGGGGCGCGGGGCCGCGAGCGAGGCTGCGCGACGCAAACGAAATCGCGCCGGTTTAAGTTTACTTCGCGATGTTGCTCAATGGGAGCCGGTCCCCGGGTAGGGGGGATCCCGGAGCCGCTGGCCCAGCTGCCGCTGCGCCCCGTGTAACGCCGCCGTGTCCCGCCTGGCAGAGCCCGTGCTGGGGCGCAGCTCGAGCAGTTCGGGGGCCACCTCGGCATGCCTCTCACCTCCCTCTTTGCTGTTTCCTAGGGTCAGAGTGTCAGAACCAGGCAGTTTGCGAGGGCTGCCAGCGGCCGATCTCAGACCGTTTTCTGATGAGAGTGAACGAGTCTTCCTGGCACGAAGAGTGTTTGCAGTGTGCCGTGTGTCAACAAGCCCTCACCACCAGCTGCTACTTCCGGGATCGAAAACTGTACTGCAAACAGGACTACCAACAGTAAGGCACCCTTCTCCCTTTGCCCCGCACGCCTGCCCCGCGGGGCGCTCATGCCACCTTCTCGCCGGGCCATACGCGCCTGCCGGGCCTTACACTGGGCACAGGGGACGGAACATGCTCTCCAGGGCCCAGGGTCCCCGGGAGCCTCTCGCCGAGTTCTGCTGCCTTGTTGGGAAACGCCAAAAAGTTTTCAAACGAAAATCAGAAAAAGCCCCGAATCGGTGCGGTGACCAGAGAGCGCCCAGCCAAGAACCGCGCGCCCGGACCCCCGAAAGATTTGTTACGGGTTCAAAGGGCCAAGCTAGAAATGTTCGCGGGGTGTTTACTAGTCACGGAAAAGACGTTAAATACTCCGCTGCCCATTTAGCAAAGGGAGTTTGTACCGGGTGGTTGTATAAATGACAAATAATACCTTGGTTGGTATCCGAGTGACAAGGGGGGTATTTCGCTAGCGCCCCCTCTAAATTCGAGCTCAAATCGTTTGGCGTTTGTGCCGGTAATTCGTACAGGTTTTACTGAAATGCACCGTAGGTAAATAATTGTAGGATTTAAAAACAGAAATGCCCTTTCAATTCAGTATAACATTCTCCGCGTGGCAGTTTTAGGTATTTTGAATAATTTAATCTTGGTTCTAAAATCAGTTTGTTCCAAACATTATCTAAAACCCCCCGAAATAAATAACACCGTGGGCAGCTGAAGTGAGGAAGGTAAAACGCTGGCATTGCCCGGGGAGAGTCCGAGGCACGGGGTTTGCTCTGGGTGCAGAAGGGAGCAGTGTAATCTCGGGGAGGCTTTTAACGAACGGGATTTGTAGTTGGATTTTTTAAACACGGGAATTAAATCCGAATCGTCGGGCTGTTGGGTGAAGTGTTAGCTGGATTTTTAACTGGCCTTTTGTTGCGAGATAACGAAAAACCGTTCCTACGAAACCGTGCGAAGTATCAGCAGCCCCGTGTTGTCATTAGAGAAAAACAAGCACGCTCCGGGGACGGCTGAATAGGCTGGGCCAGCTGCTGCGGGCGGAGGGGACGGGGCTGGCCCGGGCCCGAGGGCAGGGAAGCCGGGGGGAGGAGGCCGAGCGAGCGGGTAGGTGCAGAGAGACTCGAGCATGTTTGCTCACCTGGCTGAGGGGCCAGAAAGCGGCTGATCTCCAGCCCGGCCTCGCTGGCCGGTACCGGGGGGAATCGCCCCGGTGCCCCCGGCCGCCCAGCACGGCCCCGCCGCGGCTGTGGGGTCAGACACACACGAACCCGCCGGCCCCGGCTGGAGGGCGGCTTTCCGCGGAGCGCCCACCTGCTGCGCTTCGCGCCCGCCGGTGCCCGCTACCCAGGAGTGGCCGGGGCGGGCCGGGGCCGGAGGGGGCCGGGGCCGGGGGCAGCGGCGGGGCCGGGCCCGGCGTTCGCAGCCCCCGGCTCGCTCCGGCTCCCGCCTGCCACGGCGCAGCCTGCGGGCCGGGCTCAGCCGCCGGGCTTCGCCGGCCAGGGAGCCGCCGGGCGGGCTGCAGGGTCACCCCGGGCCCACGGCTGCAGGGTCCCCCCGGTGGCAGCGCTAGGCCCCAGGCCGGCCCTTCCTGCCCGGGCCCCCGGGCGCTCCAGGCGCGGACAGAGCCCGGGGAAGCCGCCCCGGCCGGTGCCACGCAGCGGGGCCTGCCCCCGGGTGCCCACCTCTGGGCCGGGCCTCGGGTCACTGCCGCTGTCTGGCGCCCGCTCGCCAGCCCGGCCATGCAGCCGCTGCCCCGGGCGTGCGGGCCCTGCCCGGCGCGGGGCCCCGATGTGCAGCCGGGGGTTCCCCGCAGCGCGGCGCTGGGGACAGGGCGCGGGGGCACGCAGCCCCTCGGAGCCGGTCCCTGCGGCCTGGGAGCGGAGCTGGAGGTCGCCCCAGCCGGGGCCGGAGGCTCTGGGGACGCCTCCGATGCTGGGTCAGTAGCTCCCGAGAGACACTTGACTCTGGGCTCCCGCCTCCCGAGAGACTTGACTTTATTTATACTTTTATTCCCAAAATGTCGGGCTTCGTATGAAAACCGGCCTGCCCCAGCAGCGATGCCCTTCTGCCACGCAGAGTTCCTGCCCCGCTTAGCTGTTTGGCCTCCCCTGCAAAAGCCCACTTCATGCTTGTCACTAAAATTTAGGGTCCTTTTTGTGTCGGGAGGGGGGTGAACATGGGCACTTCAATCACTGGGACATAATATGGCTCTGCTAGAAGTCTGGCAACAAACAAAGAACAACAACTATTGGTTTGCATCAACTTTTGTCAGGCATTCAGCAGGCTTCCAGAAAGGGCCTGAAGTGGCTTAGTGGCAACAATGTGCATTTCATAGCTACAGCATGAAAATCCATCTCCATGGAAACTAGTAGTAAATGCTAACATGACATGCTGAGTATAAATATTGTTAGGGTTATAACTCTTGTATGAATGGCCTAGATAGATGTCCCCCTCTTTAGGAGTTACAATAGAATGTGTAATTTCCTACTGCAGCCTTAACCAATGTGTTATTAAAGAAGCTTCAACAGACCCAGATACTGCGATATGAAAACCAATAGCTGCCTACGCATTCTCCTACTGAACTGCACTGATTTGTTTTGGGGGGTTTGGTTTTAACAAGTATTAATATTTTCACATATTCCCATTTGTAACAGTTACCGAGAATTTAGTTTAATAGAGATGTCAGATCCATGAAACATCTGACTGTATAGATAAACAAGGTACTTCTCAGGATTTTTTTTGTAATTAAGAAATGCTTCTTTGGATACCCGCACAAAATTGTTTGAAATGTAAGTGTTAGGAACAGCGTGCAGGAGATGATTCCCTTTGCAGTCTGTGTAAAATAACAGCGTTTTGCAAAAAGGCAATATCTTAGAAAGCAAAACAATGGACTATCCCTTTGTGAAAAAAATTCTTTGTTAGAAGAGAAATAAATCCTCTTTAGAATTTTAGATATTATCAAAGGCTTCTAATTGTATAGGGGGAAATAGGGTGTCCAGGCTGACTAGCAATAAAAAGATATCAACATGTTAGCCTTTGTTGAATCACAGCACCTAGTGTGACATTACATGGTAACCTGCTGTGTGTGCCCCCAAGGACTGACAGCAGAAGTAGTTAATAGTAAAGAGGGGTGGGGGGAAGACATGTAAATGGTAAATCAAAATGATTTTTTCCCTGACATTTTATTAAATTTGAAAGATAAAGCATGTGAAACTAAACTGATAATGTTCCCATTCTTCCTCTGGCAGCTGTGTTTTAGGCTGTTGGAAATATTCTCTTATTAGTAATTCTTGTTAATTAAAGTGTAAAAATAACTCTACACACCTTCTGGTCATGTGGTGTGTACACAAGTTTTATCAGCAAGAGTGTGGATGGTTGCATTGCCCATATGTGGTGAAGCCATGAGTGAGTTGTGCCGTCATCTCAAATGCATGCCGCTACAAACCTTTACATCCCGCCAGAACTTGCCATGATGTGTATGCACACAGGTTATTAAGAGATGCTTTTTAAAAAAATTACAGCTTGAGGGATATGAAGAATAATATCAGTAAAGTCAGATGTTTGTGTTACCCTAAATCCCATGTACATTCATGGCTCAGAGAAAAAAGAAAGATTTCCAAAATTTTCTTAATCACTAAAAATGACTGAAAATAGCTTTTCTGTATGTAGTAATGTAATTGAAAGACCAGATTTCTCCAGAACTCCCGAGACTATAATCAAGTGCTATGTGTATCTTTGGAAATCACGGATCTCTTCTTTCCAAAGAAAGCAAGCTTCTGAAGGGTCAGATATCAGACCTTAAACCTTCCACAGGGTCAGGAATTATTATTGCCTGTCCTCTTGTAATTTGGGGTTTGGGGGGAAAGGAGGAAACATTTTTTTTCTGGTGGGTTGATTTTCTCTTTTTAAAATAAAAATGGTGTCTGTTTGCAGCTGTACTTGGGTTTGAAATGTTAGAATAAATCCTGAGGGAGATGGATTAGTGGCCAGGGTGCAGAATGAAGTGGTCAAAGGTGCATGATAAATGCAATGTATTACATGAATCTCTCCACTACATCACCGGCTGCATGTCTGTGACTTTGTGTATTTCAGCATCTTTTTTATATGTTTAATTCTATAAATATTTGCACGGGGTGGATAGTACAGACCGATCTTTTGATTTTGACATTAAATACTTATTTTGCAAAAATTTTACATGTCTGTTGGGGCAGGGGTGCATTTGATTGCAAGTAGTTTAAGTGAAGACAACACAGTGCTACAGCAAGACACTGATAGCTGGATCTTGCTAGCCTAACTCAAGCAAAACTGTTGAGTTCAATGTGAGCTTTGCCAAAGTAAGGGTGACAGGATAGGGCCCAAAGGTGATACTTTGGACTTGGAAAAACTTAGTTATCTGCTGACCTACAGAAACATAGTGAATACTTATCAATCATAAAAAAACAAAAACAGTGTTTCAGCTTTTGCAGCAGTAAAATCTAGTGCTGGTTATTTGCTCTAATGAAATTACTAATTGTAGTATTTACAGCAGTGTTTTCTGCTACAAAAACATTGGTAATTATAAACAGCATAATGTTTTCCTATTTAGGCTCTCCTCCCTTCATTTAATTGTGGCTATATTTTTCTGCTTTGCTGTGATCTAAGTGTTTGGGGTTGCATAAATATTGTCTTATTTCTTGCTGCTTGGTAATGTTCTGTAATTGTACATCCAGTTTTAATCTTTTAAGGTGTGGTGGTTGATTCAGCTTAGTTGCTGTATATATTCTTTGTAGAACAATGTTTACTCTGATTGTAGCTTTGAAAATAAAGGTGATGAAGGAATTCGTGTAGACAAGGAATACAGTTGTAAATGAGGTTCAGACATAATAGCAGCCAAACAGCCACATTAGTTAATATTCCATATTTTTCATGAATTGGTTTTGCATTTTGTTTAGGGAAAGAAAGGGAAATATTTAGATTTTTATCAAAAGTACCAGGACGTATCAGGCATTGTATTAGCATTCTGAGTCTGTCCTGGAAAA